TCATATCAAAGATGAACATATCATTTTTAAAAAAGTAAAGAAAATGTCAATTTTTGTTTTTATAAGTTCAACTCAAACTATTTCTGACAATTATTTTAAAGAATGTTCAAGTTAAATCATGAAAATAAATTCTTATGGTTGGTTTAAATTAAAGTTACGTTACGAAAATTGACTTCTCATCTTTTTAAAAATGACAGATGCCCGCCTTCGGTAAAAGGTCACTTAAAGTATCTATTGACGTAGCGATGATTGACCGTTGATATAATATGAGTAGGAGTTAATCGGAGGGGGAGGGGGGGGGGTGCGGTCAAATTAATACTAAATTAAAATGTAGAAATTATTTAATTTTTGCTGACGCTTCGACCCACTTTGCAAGTGGTCTTCAGGGCTACAAAAGATACAAAACATGTTGAAAATAAAAAATAAATATAAATAGATATAAAACAAGAAGAAGTTGTCAGATACAGAAATAAAAAGATGATATCAGAGATATAGTGGGTGACAAATTATCATCTTTTTATTTCTGTATCTGACAAATTCTTCTTATTTTATATCTATTTATATATTAATTTTTTATTTTCAACATGTTTTGTATCTTTTGTAGCCCTGAAGACGACCTGCAAAGTGGGTCGAAATGTCAGCAAAAATTAAATAATTTCTATATTTTAATTTAGTATTTATTTGACCGCACCTCCCAATTAACTCCTTCTCATAAAGTTTCTATTATTGCAGCTACTATATAATATTAAAAATAAAAAACCAAGAACAGTTTAAAGACGATATATCAAAGAAAAGCACCTTAATGCTGTTTGTTTTGTACCGTTAACTTCAATTATTTATTTATAAATCATCTATAAGGTAGTATTTGTTAAGATTTGCTGTTTAAACCTTGTAAAACAAGCACTTAAATATCTATAATTTTTCAGAATAGCTGGGTTTGAAATTTTGGAGTACGCAGACAGTAGAGTTTGCGTTTACTGAAAAGTGGAATGAGTTGATACAAAATTTGAGTTTTTCTTTTAATTTAAATGACATCTAGATTGACCGTTTGTTCACGCAATCAGAATCTGAACCTCCATTCTACTGTTAAATTACATTAATTGATTATTTTAGTACTTAAAAAAATATTATTATAATTGTTATTATCTATCAATAATCATTAATATTGATGATTAATTTACTGGTTGATTATTTTATTTTATAGATGTATTGATAATTTTAACGAGAGTTTCCTGAGACCTAAAAAAAAGAAGAAAATAAATGAAAAAAAAAATTATTATATATATTAATAAATAAATAAACAAAAAACAATAAAAATAAAGATAACAAAAATACACAGGCGAACCTCAAATCATTTAACTTTCATGTATCAAAAATCTTTCTATATGGATAATGACTATTTTAAGCAATTTAACTAAAAAAAAAATCTGGTGTGTCCACTCGCACGACTTTCCTACCTATTTAAAAAAAGTTTTTATATCTTTACATATGTTTATGAAGAAATAAAAAAAAAAAATTGAATTAGATTTATTTTTCTGAAAAGATTTGAGTAAGATTTATTTGATAAACTAAAGCAATGTAAACCGGCTTAAGGTAGATCAGTGTAAAAATATCAATACTCTCTAATATTGCTGATAAAAAACTTTTTGCCATGGCTTAGTATTGTCAAACAATAATTTCTGTTAAAAGTAGAAGAAATAGTGAAGATTGTGCGATGCGGGCAACAGATTTTCTTACTTTCACTTAGTCATCTTTATTCTCTCATTCACCCCTTTCTGACACCAGAATATGAAACCATAATCTTACATTGGAAATTGAATAGCTGTAACTTTGTTAATAGTTGTTCAAAATGAATGATTTTTATATGGCTTTGTAGAGAATTTCACCACCTTTAAAAAACAAAAACAGGCTAAAAATTATTGCGTGCAAGCTATTGCGCATGGAGCACCAAATTTCTGGCACAGGCATCAATAGTCAAAACCCTACAAAATAAAAAAAGAAGCAACAAAATCGGTTCAGTAGTTCCCGAGAAAATTCAGGAGGCTCTGAAACGTATAGATCCGTCGAAAACCGCATGTCGAAAATTTGACCCGATTGCAATACTTTCCTTACCTAGTATAGGTAGGAAAGTAATAAAATGGAAATGGGCAGGACATCTGTTAAGTCTCTCAAATGATAGATGGTCATATATTGCAACACAATGGACACCATATAGTCCAGTGAAGTTAGGGGAGAAAAAAACGGCCTTACCCTAACATTCAAAAAATAAAAATTAAAGGTTGTCAGAAATTGTCCATTAGCCCCCATAGTAACTGGTCCCATCAAAACTGAGGCGGGATTCTTTGTGACTTTTTACCAGTTATTAAGTAGGCTAACGGACAATTTCAGACAAAGTTTCATCTTTATTTTTTTAATGTTGGTGTAAAATCCCTAATTTTACTGGACTAATATGCCAACAATAGGAACAAGAGAAGACGAACGAAATTCATGGTGGGAAATATGGAAGCAATATAGCGAACCCCATTTCCCAGTAGGGTTGTTCACCTTGGAAAGTGTAATATCATTACTCCTCTTAAAAATCTGGTGCACGCATCGGACGACTTTCACTTACCACCCTCTTCTTAGCAGAAATAAATATTATCAGACAAAGGGGAAGAGAAAGTAAAAATTATAGATACTATATTTATTTATATTTCATTGTGGGTATTACCAGGAGGCCATTAGAACTCGGCGACCCGCCTATATTCTACAGATCCTACAATTCAAACGCTCCTTTCAATCCCCTCCCATCAGATCCCGTACGTCCGACCTTTATCTTCCTCCTCACCGAACTGCTGTGTTTGACAAATCCTTTTTAATTCAAGTTGTCTCCCTCTGGAACTCGATACCCTCAGATATTCGACACGCAAAGTCAGTATCCTCTTTCAAATCTCTCCTGACCACGAAATGCACTTGAAAACCTAAGCTGTAAGAATCTCTAAGTTCACCCAGATATTTTGAGATTCATTGATATTTTGTTTAATTAATTTACTTTCTTTGTTTATTTTATATTTATACACGTTTCTATATATTTTTATTGTATTCCTAATCATCCTGTAATATTCAATTTTATTTTATGGACACACCAGAATGTTAATATATATTGTTTATTTATATTTTGTTCTAAAAGGACACTAGTCCCAGAATAATAAAATTATTTTCATTCATTCATATTATTTCAAAATGTACAAATTTCTAATCAATTAAATTTTTTTCTTTTTTTTCTATGGAATTTAGTAATCTTTCAAATAATCATAGATGCAATCAACAAAAAAATTTAAACTTTTTGAATTATTCACAAATAAAATTTCATTTCCTTTATAACTTTTTGCTAAAATTTCAGGTTTTGACTATATCTATATATGTCAGTTCTCCATGAAGTCCCCTTTCGTTTGATACTTCATTCGTCAAAATCCATTGCTCTGAGAGCTCGAAAAAATGGGATCGTATTATATATAAAGAGAGATTTCTACAATAAATCCCCTCAAAACCATATTCTAGGTGTTAGGTTATGAAAAATATATAAAATGCAACCCACTCTTAACTGACCCTTGACACATTGAAAAAGTCTATTATTTTTGGAGAAATTACGACAAAAGAGTACTTACTTTCTGGTAGAAGAAAAGACGCTCGCAGATAACATTCATTCGACAATGAATGACACCAATATCTTCCATTTGTTCAACATGACCTGTTATAAATATAAATAGCAATTAGAATAAGTATAGCAAAAACAAATTATATATATATATATATATTTTTTTAAGTAATAATAATAAATGAAACTCACTTACAGCTTGATATTTTATTTCATTTCTGATTTCTTCAATTTTTTAAATTAAAATGTTCTTCATGAAAAAAAAAAAAAAAAAAAAAAGGCAAAACTTCTTTAAGCTAATAATAATAAACCTCAAGATACAGGTAAACCACTACAAGCTAGAGTGATTGTGCCAACAGTAATCTTCGTCGCCAGCACCTGAATTAGAAAATATTTTCACGTTAAATCAAATGCGTTAATATATTGGGCACCTTCCTATAAATCTTCTTTTTCTTACTCCTCTAATCCTGTTTTAGAAAAATAATTTAATACTTATTTTTAAATGGAGCAGTAAAACAATTTGTTTTTTTTTTTTTACTTACTAAATCTTTTGTTATAACCTTAATCAAAGGCGATAACAAGGAAAAATAATATTTCAAAAGAATTCATTACAATTTTAAATATTTATCTCCATCAAAAGTATACAAAATTTTGCAATAAATTGACAATATGAAAAAGTGTTTTTGGAAGAGTGAAAGTTGGAGACGGCGCATGAAACAGAAGCTATACGAGCTATACGCTATACGATGCTTTTAGGAAAGTTGACGTAGTGAGAGCGATGAAGCTGAGGTGCTCAAGGTATAAGCAAATTGCCAGGATCGATACTCAACATGTGATAAGTATTCAATGGCAACCATAGTAGGGATTGGAGGGCTTTCAACAAGAATTACAATTAATGTCAAAAACGGTACATGGTGTTTCTCACAATGCAGGGCCGCAGCAAAATCCGCCAGCTTTTGAAACTTTCCAATTTTTTCATTTAGTTTTATTTAGATGTAAATTTTGAAATTTGCATTAGACAATACTCAATGAAATTTCCTTTGGTTTGATATCTCATTCATTACAATCCATACGTCCTGAAAACTAGAAGAAAAGGAATTTATACTACTAAAAACTTCAAATTTTCTCTGAACATATAGTCCTGACAACAAATGTGATAGAAAGTAATGAATTTGCATAATATAGATTCATGTTTTAAAATGAAATGATAGCATTATAATAATTTAATACTTACTTAATAATAGATTCTAATAAAACTATTAGCAAAATTCTAATCCACATATTTGACTGTTGCAAAATGCTTACCAGTGATCATCATGGGTTCAAGAGCTAAAAATAATTATAAATTAAACAGTTCACTAACCTGGCTGGTATTTACTGTTCTATTGCGGTTGTGACTGGGTGGTGTTACTTCATTGGCAGTTGTTTCGCTTTCCATTCTTCTTTGTGATTCTACCTTCTTAGAGGCCCCCCCCCTTTGTTCCCCCTGCTAAAAAAATAAAATGGATATGCAGTTTCGCAATACATTTAAGAAAATACAATGCGAAATATATAACAAAAATCTCAGTGGTAATTAGGGCTTGGATGTGAAGATGAAATTTTCTAAAGAATCGATTTTATGTACAAAAAAGATCTTAAGCCATTTATTAAAAAAATATTGAGGTATACAATAGTATTTGTAGAGTTTAAACATGGGAAATTATAGTAAAGCTGAGTAGGAAAATTAAAATATAATTTTATGAATTAACAAAACTTGATAACAAAAAAGGTAAGTTCCTAAACTCATCGCATCGCTGTTTTTAATTTTTAGATTTAAAAAATATGTTAAGTCATTTATAAAAATATTATTTAGTATACAATAGTATTTGTATTTATTAGATCAGTTAATTTAATCCAGTAGCAATGAATAGCAATTTAGGCTCAGTTTAGAAATGACCTGATGGGTTCCAGCGGGAATCTATCTATAGAATCTAGATATACCATAAAAAGGGCATGTTCTTTAACTCAGTGCTTGGCTCATCGATGACGTCATTTCACCCAGTTCAAAGACGAATAGTGAGACAGATGGAAGATGAACGCGGAGTTTAGGAACTTAGCCATACAGACAGATAGTAAACTTAAAATAAATATGTAAAGTAAATTGAGATAACACTGGGATTATAATGTGGTTACATCCAGTAGATCCGTTGATCCCTAAAGCCGATGGAACTGCTTCAATCAATGAGTTTACCAACTTGCCAAAATAATATTTATATAATTGTAGAAAATATTTTGAAAATATAATCTCTGAATTTAGCCAAATTTTATTTCCAAATTATTTCTAAAGTCGACTGAAATATTGTTAATGCCCCTTTCTATGGGAGAATTTTTCATTTTTCATGAAATTGACAACAAATAATTCACTTGAAGAGAAAAGAATTCTACACTAAGTTGTCAGAGTTTTAATAATGGGGAGGGAGGGAGGCCTTATTTATTTCAAAATGTGAAAAAAGAATTGTCCACGTTATATAATCTTATAGATTGTAAAGGATTAAATTACGTAATAAAATGACACACCACGTGTAAACAGCAAATCTTTCTGTGAATTAAAGTAGGAAATTAACAACAACTTTCTCAGACTCAAAACACAGATATTTCGTTCTTTTTGTTATGGTATTACTTACTAGGTTTTTCTAGACAAATATCTGGATATAACAATATAATTTCATTTCAATTGAATTAAATTTTAGACAAAATGGACATAAGTGAAATAAATTGAGTGACCTCATATCAAAGATGGACGGTTATTTCTCTCAAGCAAAGAAGAAGTCATTTTTTTTAATAAGTTCAGCTCAAACTGTTTCTGATGACTTTATTTAAGAATGTTTTAGTTGAATCATGAAAAAACAAACATTAGAACTGGTTTAAATTCAAAGCCTTTTAACTTTGACAGACATTTTTTAGCATCTGGACACTGTGCAATTTCATGTTGGTTCAAATCAAATGTTGAGGATATACATTACAATATGGCGTATGACTAAAAGTTTTGAGAGATAACATCTTACTTTGAGCCTCAGTCGCTGAGATAGCACAATCCCTAAATAAATGCTTAGTCCTAATAAATCTTTTTTTTTTTTTTTACCTACATTTAACATTGCTGCATGCAGTAATAACAAATCAAATTGTTATACATCATAGATAAATTAAAAATACCAACAGAAGACTTTTAATTATGAATACTTGTACAGTCCGCCTACAACCCATCAAGGGTTTGGGATTAGGATGGAAACTTCTTAAGGAAGAACTTTTAATTGAAGATACAAAACAATACTATACCTGATCAAGAACCCTTTGGATTCTCAGTCTTTCCTGGTTACGAAACGCCTTTCTCTCACTTTTGGGAGCCCCGATAAGTGCATGCAATGTTGGTTTCTGCCTAGACGTTTCGTGAACTTGTTCTAAGACTGAGACTGGAGGCTCATCCTAAAATATATATATATATTCCATCAATAAAACAGGCTGTTTTTACATAAAATCTTTATTTTATCTTAAAAAAATTAGCTAAAATTAATTTAACTTATCTGAACCATTATTTCAAAGTAAAGAAGGAATAGTACATGTAAGAGATGAATTTGTCGTGTTAGTATAAAAAATAAAATTAAACTGAGTTAATAAGTGAAAATATAAAATGACTGAAAATTACCTGTAGACTATGCAAATAATGACGGTAAGCTTTAACTCATCGCAGAAGACAGCAAATCTCTTTCAACACCATACCTCGATGACCCTTTGTTAAACTGTAGTACAACTTAAGAATAAGAGAAGACATGACTTACCATTTAAGAACTATTAAGAGTGAGATCCATGCCTTCAGAGAGTTGGTGAAAATTTAACGAGATTAATCAAGCACCTGCCTCAGCTCACGAGTCGATTAACAAAACTACAAATGCTAAATTTAGGGAAGGCTTAAAAGATTTAGAGATAGAAAAGAACTGAATTAAAACATTTACGATACTTAGAGGGTGTCTACCAGACCTTCTTAAGAAATTCCCAGACTTGTCTAGATCATTTTTGGAATGATTCCAAGTAATCAAAATATAATTTATAACAAGTTCCTTTTCCAGCACTTTATATATAACTTATATAATAAGTTGTAATTAAGGAATTGCTTAAAATGGAAAGGGGGTAATAGAAGTGGGGCTTTCCTAGCATCAGATTTATCAAATGAAATACATTTTATTGAATGGAAATAAAATTATAGCAACAAGATTAGCTTTTTTATTTTTGGAATGAAAGCAAGAGACAATAGAATTATGAAATATGGAAACTAGTTAGCAGGGCTTGAAACGGAAAAAAAACCTTTAATTTTGAAAACTTTTTCAGTATTGCTGGAATTTTATTGTCAAGTTTTTCAGTTCCTTTGAAACTAGAACTTTTCCCTTACAACTTTTCAAGTAAAGGTTTAACAGAATTTCAATTAAAAAAAAAAAACTTATTTGAAAATTCTTAAAATTTCGCTAAAAGGTCTATCTTAAAAATCACTTATTCAGTTTCTAAAAAAAACAACGATAAATTAAAATCATGCATAATTTAGAGGAAGGAGATGGTCTGAGGCGGCGGTCATAAATAGACTAAAATAGTGGCAAAACTATTTTATTTCAAGCTGACGTTTCGACCCGACTTTGCAGGTCTTCTTCAGGGCTAGAACGGACAAGAAACAAAAGGATATAAAAAAATGTAGAAGTTACATAATATTTAGATGAAGATTATAAACAAGGTTTTTATCCTGCATGGGATCAAGCAACTGGATGAAAGTTGAGAACTAGCAGTTGACAAAAATGTTTTTTTCGTCCTCGCCTTTTAGGCGTGGATCTAGACGGATCCAGAGAGGGAGAGGAGATTTATGCCTGAGTTAAAAGCTCCTCTTTATCCAGCATTATTTCATTAAATTATCTTCCACCAAGTTGCCGGACAATACAAAGTGCTGTGTGCCTGCTCGACCACCCTATCCCTGCACCACAATGGGTTATAATTTGAATTTTAAATTTATGTTACATTAAAGAAAAAATATATATAAATTTTTTGTTGAAAAATGGTTATTTTGTTTTATATAAAGCCCATTAGCCATAAATTTTTGAAAACTCCTAATTTTTTCAATGACTTTTATAGTACTTGTACTAAGGGGTTCTACGTTTTGAAATCGGGATTTATCACTTCTGCACATAAAAATTCCTTTTATTCGATATCTCGTCCATCAAAATATATCGCTCATAAGAGTCAGAAAAGGAACCTAAACTGTATTATGTATATATACAGAGTGTAGATTAGTAAATTTATTATTGAAACATTATTACATAAAATGTGACCAATAATGAATCTTATTCTTAATAGTTAATTAACTTATGCTACTAACTTTGTAAAATTCCCTCAGTTTACCAAGACCAGTAGACACTCCTTTTTTATTTAATAATATGTCCGAAAAATTTGTGGTTCGTTCGGGTTTAAAACAGGGGGATTCCCTTTCGCCTGTCCTGTTCAATTTGGCATTAGAACATGCCATTAGGGAGGTGATGCGTACCGAGAAAGGGATGGATCTGGGTGGGACAACATCCGTGCTGGGCTATGCGGATGATCTGGTACTGTTAAGCGAAGACGTTGAAACTATACGCCAACGTTAATGAAAGCCGGTAAAGAACTAGGACTCAAAATAAACGTGGATAAAACAAAATATATGGTTAGTTGCAAAAATGGCGATACTACTGGTGATATCGATATAGATGGTAATATGTTTGAAGAGGTAGATAAATTTAGGTATCTAGGTTCTACGATAACTAGAAAAAACGAAATTGAAGAAGAGATTAAGGTTAGACTGAAGGCGGGAAATGCTTGTTATTTTTCTGTGACAAAACTACTGAGTTCGCACCTCTTGTCCCGGAACTTAAAAATTAGAATCTATAAAACAATTATCTTGCCTACAGTTCTTTATGGATGCGAAACTTGGCCGCTTACATTAAAGGATGAGCAGCGTCTTAAGGTTTTTGAAAATAAAGTATTGCGTAGAATATTCGGACCGAAGAAGGATGAGTTAACCGGAGAGTTCAGACTGTTACACAACGGCGAATTGCGTGAACTGTATCTGAGTAATATAATTGAGGTAATTTCATCGAGGCGAATCAAATGGGCTTGTAAAGTTGTTGGGCTTAGTAACGAGAGAATTCCTAAAAGGTTAATATTTTTTATTTAAACCTCTTTGAATTAATTTTCAGTTCTGAATTGTACAATATTTAAAAACTAAAGTTTTACTTTAAATACGAACCTTCACCAGTGATTTGAGAACGCAAGTCATCAAGGTTTAAGTTGATAGATAGCAGCTATATAACCTTTGTTAAGTAATATTAACATGAAGATACTTACTGACGTACCCCAGCTCTCCTCGCCCTCTATCGGAATAGGTTCGGGTTCAATTGCTACTTCTGATCCTTGAGACGATCCAATTTCGTAAATAAATTTTTCAAGTGGAAGGCGATTTGGACAAGTGGTTTTGTGATACTGGGAATACAAAAAAAAAAAAACAACGAAATCATGGTAGATATACCTAAGTATTACATATAACAGCAAATGTTTATATAGGTATATATAAATATTTGGAAGTCTGTTATCTACCTAAGTATTACATATAACAGCAAATATTTATATAGGTATATATAAATATTTGGAAGTCTGTTATCTACCATAAATTTCTTTCCTTTTCATGTTTACAGTACCAGCTATCATTCTGTAGAGTGCATCAAGTTTTGAACGGATTCACTTGATATTCAATAACAGGTGATAAAAATTGAGGCAACAGTGTAAGTGCTTTACTTAAATAGAAATCTATCTGTACGGAACTAAAGTTTTACTTTAAATACGAACCTTCACCAGTGATTTGAGAACGCAAGTCATCAAGGTTTAAGTTGATAGATAGCAGCTATATAACCTTTGTTAAGTAATATTAACATGAAGATACTTACTGACGTACCCCAGCTCTCCTCGCCCTCTATCGGAATAGGTTCGGGTTCAATTGCTACTTCTGATCCTTGAGACGATCCAATTTCGTAAATAAATTTTTCAAGTGGGAGGCGATTTTCACAAGTGGTTTTGTGATACTGGGAATACAAAAAAAAAAAAACAACGAAATCATGGTAGATATACCTAAGTATTACATATAACAGCAAATATTTATATAGGTATATATAAATATTTGGAAGTCTGTTATCTACCATAAATTTCTTTCCTTTTCATGTTTACAGTACCAGCTATCATTCTGTAGAGTGCATCAAGTTTTGAACGGATTCACTTGATATTCAATAACAGGTGATAAAAATTGAGGCAACAGTGTAAGTGCTTTACTTAAATAGAAATCTATCTGTACGGAATATATATCTCCAACCAACTAACGAACTGGACAATCTCTAAAGAGATACGTTACAACTTGTTTTGAAAAATTAGATTCCATTTGTAGATAAGAAACAATAGCGTAGCGTAGGAGAAAAAGAGGGCACTTCATAAGTTGAGGCAAAAGCTCTAGAAATTGAAATACAAAGTAAAGAAGTAAAATAAAATTGTATATTAAGAAAATTTGAATAAGCCTATGGAGTTGAGCTCTGGGACTCCACTAAACAATCTATGTTTTAAATAAAATCATCCATAACGACCTAACTATACCATATGTTTCCGATTTGGCCCAATCCAGATACATATTCTTACATAATAAACTTCAGAACCATCCTAATCCTCTTGTTTTTAACCTTACTTTCCCTTCGATCCCTGATAATCCTCCGAGGCACCTGAAAAGAAGATGGCCTCGTGATCTCCTAATTTAGTGAGATACTTTATTAGAGTATTAACAATTGGTAGTCATTTTAAGTCATTTTTACTGGATATATATTTATTAGTTTCACTTACATGTTTTGAAGTCCCCTGAGTCCAAATAACCAAGTCCCGCAAAATGGTCTGTGTGTTTATATGTGAACAGTCTAATTCAAAAGCGAAAAGTCGTACGCAACTGAAATTTGCTGATCAAGGTCTGTGTCCATACCTCGGATGTTATAGCAACTTGTTTTGTCAAGATTGGCTAACAGGAAGTGCCACTTTATATCATTGACAAAATTTACTATATCATTGTAAAATTAAGCTATTTTTAACATAATCTAAAGGAAAATGATTTAAAAAATAGTTGAATATGGTGAATGAAGAAAATTGATCGGTACCTTTGCCGATCCTGTTTCTTTACAAATACCTAAAACCCCTCTGTGCAGGCCTATCCTATTTTGCTAGTTCAACTTTTATATACCGCTTATCCATAACCTTCTGAAAGGCCTTCACACAAAATGTTGAGGATATACTAATATAAAACTAGTAATATATAATATTTACTAATGTTAAGTTATTTTTTGACAACTTTTTCGAACAAACTAAGAATTTTTTCAAAAGATCCATTTTTCCCACAATCATTAGTATTGTTTTGATACTATACACAGTCATAAAAGGAAACGGAAAGTGATACAAACATATAAATTTAACTGATTAGACGGGTAGGAAAACACGGTAATTAGCTGTTTTAAATGAATTCATACTGTTGTTTTTATTTTAACTTCCTTATACATGATAATACCTACGTACTATAAGGTTGATAAGTGAAAGTTGTGTGATGCACGCACTGCACTAGATGTTTTTTTTTTTTATACAATTTTAAATTAAATAAAAATAAATTAATTTTTGTTTCTAAAATTAGTTAACTAGTTAGCTGGTATGTATAATTTGCTTAATAGATTGCTGAGTGAACAAATGACAATATAATATGAAAATAAATAAATTAATTAAGTTCTTTTCCTAGATCGATCACGATTGTTCATTCAAAACATGTCACCAAGTTGCAGTGGATGGCGTACTTTATAAATATTTAAGCATTGTGGTGATAGAAAGGTGTCCTCCCCCTCCCCCTAGATCAGATGTTATGCTGAATTGAGTGAGGAAATGATGAGCTATTGAATGGGGATGGATTCAGCGCACAGACAATGAATTCCAATCAATTGCGAAGTGAACAAGTTGGGTGGGGAAAACGTAGTGAAATGTGCATGTATAAACAATTGGTAAATGGAAAACCAATGAATGAATGCCGTTGGAACAGCAGCAGATAGGAGTGTTACTGATAGGATCGTTTGACACTAATTTATTAAACGATCGTTACAATGAATAAGCGGTTTCTATTGGGTTGCCCGGAAAAAAAAATCAGGATTTTGGTTTAAAAAAAAAAAAGATTTAAAAAATTGTTTTATTTAATCAAAATAGTCTCCACTATATTTGATAAATTTCTGCCAATTTTTCCATTCCCTCGGAATAGAATTTCCCATCTTTAGAATTGATAAACTCCAAAAACTCAATTTCTAGTTCCCTTTATCCATTAAAGTTTTAGTCACGTAAGAAGTGGTCCAGGTGTCAAGCAAAATGATAATCCGTAGGTGAGAGGTCTGGAGAGTAGTAAAACTATACAAAAATCATGCATTGACATCTTAGTAAAGACTGAATTCTTTCCGAGCAGCAAGATGCTACAGAGGTAAACAAAAATTATCTTTTGGAAGATGATTAATAATCCAGTTTGTTATATAGAGGAATATTTAAAAAAAAAAACTACAAATCCTTCATTATTTTCTGGATGGCCCAATATTATATTATTTTAAAAGTTCTTTCCTTTTTCTTTATTTGTTGTCTAAGGTTCATTTACAATTTAAGGTTGTTATATAAGAGCCGTTCTGCTCTATTACCTTCTTCCATCTCTCAGGAAGTCTCTTATACTCTTTTTCCAAAATTGTTGAGACTTACTTGCAAAATATTCATCGAGATGCGTTTTTATTTCGCTTTCGCATTTGTGACATTTATCACGAATAGAATTTTTTAACAACAAGAAACAAGTAATAATTGGATGGGGCAAGGTCTGGGGAGTATGGAGGATTAGGTTCAAAGCCCCAATCAAATTGTAAGAGTTTCTGTCACTTTCCACGGCCAACGCAACATGCGGCATTGGCCGAGGAGTACACGGTTCATATATAACACAATTAATCAACCTTCAACAATAAATAAAGAAAAAGGAAAGAACTTATGGGACACTATAATAAATATAAAGACAGATAAATAAATAGTTTATTGTCAAAGAATATGTCATAAAGGTAATTTAAGAACCATTTCATAAAAATCTGGTGCGCGCAACACACAACTTTCGCTTACCGCTCTACTTTGAATAGAAATTATTTTCTGGCAATGCTGGGCTATTATAAAATTTTAAGTGCATTTTAAACGGAGCTAAAGCTTAAAGCTTACAGATAACAAGTCATTAAGACTATTATAATTACAAAATGTCTATTTAATATATCGACCGTAGGCAATAAAAATCTAGTCACTCCATCTTCTTTTATAAACCACAGAATGACTAACTCCAATTTCAACATTTTTGAGTATTGTCAATTTAGTGATATTTTTAGTTGAAAAAGTTATTTATGCAGACAGTGAGTAAGTTGATTCTGGAGGTAGTGATTGCAGTGTTGAAATACAGAACTGAGAATAAAGGTATAAATTTAGGTACTTATTTCTTATGAAAGATGTTCTGAGGTAAGATACTTTATTAAATATCTGTAGAAAAAAAGGTTTTTTTAGTCTCAACAATTAAAAAAGTATATTTTAAATTTATACAAATTTTCACCTCTTCAGGGGAAAAAACTAGAGACCATAAATGCGGAACCGATTTTAACGCATTTTTTTGTTGTTTTTTTTTAAGGAAATTCCATAAACTTTTAAAAAACCATACAATATCCACAAAAAAGTGTATACTTTTTGAGTTATAATTTAATTTATACTTTTCGGAATTTAATTTTACCATCCCTTGTAACTTTTTTTCCAGCTTCTTTTTGTTGAAGTATGTTATATAGATAAATTTAAAGGGTGTCGAGAAAATGACTTTAGCGAAGTTTCATTAAATCCATACATTCGTCTACTGTCTATAGCAACGCAGGTTTTTCTGCATTTTTATTTTTTTTTTTTCTCCTTTATTAACTTATCAAATTCTTTCAAAAGTTATATGTAGCATTTTTTTGTAACTCTGAATAATGCGAAATGATTAACTTTTTAAAATAAATCATATTAAAGGTACTTGAGGAAGACATATATGAACATTACGCATTTAAGCCCTGTAAAGTGACATCAACGGGGATAAGACCTAAATGATATTAAATACCACTTAATTATATAATGATACACCGAGTTTAATCAAAATCGTCTTTGAGAAAAATGTGTTTTTCAGCGTTCATATAAAGTGGCACTTACGGTTAGACGATTTTGAATAAAAAGTTACTGTTACATCCGGCTCATACAAACCTTAAATACTTAACATCAGTTACATACTACTTTTCGTTTATGAGCTAGACTGTTAACACACACACACACACATACACACAGACCATTTTGCGACACTTGGTTATTTGGACTCAGGGGACCGCAAAACATGTATTTCTGTTGAAAACTGAGATTCGAAAATTTTCACAATCGCAATACTTACCCTTACTATATATTACACATATACGTAAGTGAAAGTAAAAAGAGGATGAAAGGAGGAAGTGCTTGCATGAGAGAGAAGAGAGGGGGACTTTAAGCTGACAAATGAGCAAGAGAGGTTCTGGTGGTAGCGTGAGAGAGCTATGTGGTAGCAAAGTTCACATTGTTAATAAGTTCCTCGAATTCGACCACCGATGAATGGACTTAATGATCATAAACCAACCCCAAAATGATATTTTTAATGAGTTATATTTATTTTTTATATTGATCAGGAAAAAGTTAAATCTCGGGCATCAGCAAATGAACTTTTTTTATTACTTAAATTACTGAAATGTCACCTTCAATAAATTGTAGCACTTTAAAAACCAGCTGCTTGATTGTGTAAAAACAGCTGGCAGATTATCATTTTATTATTTATCCACCTCTTCCTCTCCTTAAAGGGTACATTGGAGTTTTGCTGGGCTATGTGATGTCCCAGAGTTAAAAGCCCCTGTAACTGGGACTTAAACAAGTAATTATTTTACATTGATGTAGAGATGGTTGACCGAGATATAATATGAGA